GATATATCACTGAGCTATAACAGTTTGATTTACCTAGGGGGCGCACTTGAGTCAAAAGTAAAACAACAATACCATTGTGTGTTTAAGTGCTCATTAATTACACACCAAAAATCTGGTCCACATCGGATGACATATCACTGAGATATAACAGTTTGAATAATCTAAGGGGCGCCCTTGAGTCAAATATTAAACAACAAAACTAAAATGTCCATCAGCTCTCAGTAATGATGCACCCAAAATCTGGTTCAGATCGGATGTTGTATCACTGAGATATAATTGTAAAAAGAATCTATGTGGCGCTGTTGAGGTTCTTGGCCACTTATCATGGAACCCTGTTCAGATGTGCATAATGATCAATCATAGTGATTTTGGTTCACCTGGGCTCAATTCTGTGCAATTTAGAGCCAAACGTATTGCAACGGCGTCACTTTTTAATTCGCCATGGCGCCACGCCCACATTCTCCAGCTATAATTGTTTTGTTGTTTAAATCAAGTCAGACCATCTTATCTGTCTTCTAACACAGGATCATCCTGATTATGTAAAGGGTGTCAAAGAAGGACCATTCCAAGCCAAAAAGTCACTTCCTGTTCTTAGGGGTCGGGGCTTTGATGACGTCACAATATGACCTCAGAGTGTCGTTAACCTAGTTTTAAGGCAATCTTTCAAAATCCCTATTAGGAGTTCATAAAAAATTTCCATTTAAAAAGCCCAGAAATTAATCTTTGACCCAAAATGACTGATTTCCTCTTGGTTTTGTACTGGTTTAATATCTTTAAATCAATTTTTCAATTATGAAAGTGGGTAATGTATTCCATTTAGGGTAACTTATATGTAATGTGTTATGTTAAGAATTTCTGTCAAAGCTTTTAGTTTTTAAGCATATGTTTTTATGTACTATTAGTTATAAAATTGTTTAGTTTTGTGTTTTTGTAATTAGTTTGTTTAATTGTTAATCTAATTATTTAATTTATTTTTTATATGTATTATTGGACAGTAAATTATTATCTTGTAAATGAAATGATATAATAGGTTCACAAATGTTTCAAATAAGACAAAATTTATTAACGCAAATTCCAAAAAAAGACAATTACACATTTTCTGTCACGTTGGGGATTTCATCCAATCCTTCTTGGTCTTGGCTTTTCTTTGTCCTGAAAATGATTTTATACAGAAGATATTATTAAAAAAAAATTGTTACATTTCTAGATAATTAAATAATGTGCAAATTTAAGCATATCTTATTTAGTAAAACCAAATAAATGTGTATTTTGCAATGATAAAGTGAAAATGACATTAAGCTGTTAATTTTCCAAATCTTGATTTAATTCTGTTCATTTCTATTTTTTTGTTTACACGTGTTACATTATAGTTTTAATTAATTTTCTATTTTGTAAGCATAAGTATTTGTAAGCTAATAAGTTGAACATATAATGTTATTACTTCAAATTGTGTGTAAAAGTATAAATTTTATTTAAAGAAGATAGTTATGTAAATCTGTATTTAGTTTAGTAATTATCAAGTAATTCTGAACAGTTTTATATCCATTCATTCATGATTTTTATCTGTTTTTTCCAGTTTGGGTCATTGGGGTCTCTGGTGCCCATGTTCAGCAATCACTATGCAAGGGATGGAGTACAACCTGGATGTGTCGCAAGTCCATAACACAGCTAAAGTATAATATAACAAGTGTAAAAGATTTGGAATAATATGTTTTTTTTTTCATGTTTAAGAGTAACTGCAAGTTTTAGACTGACATTTTTTTTCAAGAGTTTTATAGAAAATATTTTAGACAAAGTAATTTTGGTAGAAATAAAGTAATTATTTTAAAGGCTAATATTAAAAATTTGTCAAGAGGTTTGAAATGCTTATAATTCAGTGATGAAATAGAATTTTATATTTGTAATTAATTAGGCATATAAATGGACAATTGAAATGAGCATTGACATACATAGAATAGGTAATTCCTCAGTTTGACAAAGGAATACTATTATACAACCACAAATATCTGTAAAAATAATTTTTTAAACAATTAAAATAATAATTACCCATCTTCTTTTGCAGTTGAGAATGCATCCAATTCCTCTGTGTTCATGTTTGTCTTTATTCTGAAAATGATTTCATATAGAACAATTAAAAAACACATATGTATTAAATTTTTATAGCATTAAGTAATTGTTTTAATTTATCACATTTCATAAAGTAATAACCAAAAAAATGCCATGTGTACCTTGTTAAAAGTTATAAAGACATAAATTTATTGTTTTTATGTTTGTAAATATAGATTAAAGTCTGCCTGTTTTTATTTCTTGTTTTTACATGTAATCTTAACAATTTATAATAATAATAATGATAATTATGATATTTAATTATACTGAGTTTTTTATATTGTGGCTAATCAGTATGAACTTTTGTCAGGGCACTTAATATGAGCATTGACATATCTTGAAAAGCAAATTAGTATTTGTGTCTAAGGAATATCATGTTATTACCACAATTCCAAATAATAATAATATTAATAAAATAAAACAAAGGCAATTACCCATCTTCTTCAGTTTTTGGAAGTTCGTTGAAGTCCATGTTTTCAAGTTTTTATGGATACATTTGTAATGTTTTTTAACTTTTAACTCTAGAATGCCCACTATAATATTCCAATATTTGTATGTCAATGATATATCATTCGATATGCATCAGATTATTGTGGCATAATGTGTGACCATGTCTATTGTCAATTCAACAGGTATTAAGGAATAACACTGAACTAACAAATAATAATTTTCTTCTTTTCAGTGAATGTCAGAGCTGTATCTTGGATAGCTTCATACAAAGGGTTCAAGGATTTTCGTTGTGCAGCGGCTGAGTTCACAAACAACATTTTAAATGTGATCATCACAGACATGTAGCAGCTGGATACCGAAGATCATCTCCACCTTAAATACAAATCATGTCCTTCCTTCCAGATCATACTTTGTAAATTACATTCAGTTTTACAATCCATAATTATTATTTTACAGCAATTACATTTTTATGTTATGTTTAAAAATAATTCAATTTAAGTATTAAAATATTTTTAAGACAGGAATTAAATGGGTTGTTGATTTAATGTTATTTTTTGCAGTATTTGTATCACTCATAAAATGAGTATGGTAGTTACTCCAGAACCTGAATAACGCAGAATTAGACTATCCAGGACTTCTCTGGTGAGCACAAGGACGACATCTGTGCCATAGGACAAAATCTGGATACTGGCTCCACGGACTTGTCCTGACTCAATGAGACTATCTGTATAAATAAAGGGTCAATGAAAAAATAAAAGTTTAAAATAAAAATGTTCAGATTAGGCACAGGTTGTGAGTGTAACGAGCATGTTCCTCAGGTTGTGTGTGAGATGTGCACGTTCCTGATAGGCCACAGACAGAGGAGCTCCAGCTTTTGTTGAGTTCGTCTAGTCCTGTACTTTTCAAGCTGAAATGAAAAAGCATCATGAATATGAACTTTACAGTCTATACTTACTTGTTCATATAAACACATTAAGGTGTCTCATCTTGTGACTAAAAATAAAATATGTACATGTATGAACTCTAATGAACTTATAATGATGCTCCAACTCTTTTTAAGGTGAACTGATGATACCACACTATCTCTCACTTGGAAAGTCTGACCAGTTTGATCAAAATTCTTAGGTTTAAAATACTAACTGCTCAGATGAATCTTCCTCAAAGATATTTCCTTCTTTTCCTTACATCTTGTTGTTTGTGAAACTTTTAAAATGAAAACAGGACATTTGTGTCTACACCAAAACATTTTAGAAAGGATGTCAATCTTATTTTTTATTTGCTATATTTTCCCTAGTGTAATTTTTTTTATATCCTAGCACTTAAACAAAACTCCAGTTCTGATACATATCTCTTGATAATGAATCAAAGCTACAGAAATAGTGAGTATACTTGTTAGCAAAATATTCCTGTCATCAGATCTCAGTCAGCTTTATTGCAGCTAAACGTGTTCCAATGAACATCACATCAGTAAGTGGACATAAATGCAATACAGTCAGATTATATTCACAAAATACTAACAATAACATGTTCATGTTATTTGTGAAAAGATATCCCCCGATATCTAAAGAAATGCGCGGACGCATGAGAAATATCTTTCTTTTACCGACTTCCTGTTAAATACATGTTTTATTTTGACATTTCCTGTTTCATGCTGTGCTATGCGTGACGCTAGCTTTATGTGTCAGCGGAACCGAATGCCGATTGGTTTTTGTGATACACGTGATCGCTATTTTTAAATCTATTGGTCAAGTTTTGCTTTGTAACCGTCTCCCCGCTGATTTTGAAACGATTTTGTTCAAACCTTGAGTGTGAACAGAATTGTTTGTGAGCTCAGAGATTTCTCAAATTGTGTTATAATTCTTTTTTCTTTTCATTCATCGATTTCACAGCTACTTGTTATCAAGGTAAGTTTTTGCCGTGCTAACGTTATTTAGGTCATTTGATTATAAACATGCATTTATTATTTAAACGTTAGACTGGCTGACATTACATATTTTAAATGTATACTGGTTTTATGAGTTAGAACTGCTCAGAGACAGGATTATAATGAAATTGTGTTTCGGTTTTTACTGGTTTAAACTGGGCCAGCAAACTTAAGAGAGTCTCCCTGATAATTCAATATCTGTCAAGAAATAGTTTAATTAAGTAATAGTTTAATACCTTTACTGTAATCTAGAGCAAATAAGTAATTGATTTTATACATTATATTTTGGCATATGGATCTGAACGTTGCTTTACTTATGGGTATATCTTAGTTTGTAAAAAACAATTTGACCGTGAAAGTGTTTTTATTAAGAAATAATAAGGTCTAAATATAAGTGTATTTTATTTTCGAGTAAAGAAATAATTTTTTGACGTGTTTTTTTTTTTTTTTTTTTGGGTACTGCGTTTCTTCGCGTGCCGCCATTTTAGGACAGTCGACCGTTCCACTTAGTGTAACCTGTTAGATTGACATATCATGTACGGCACGTTTAATCAGTCATAGATGAATACTAGTCATTGTAAGGTTTTTTTTTTCTTTCACGAGCATTACTGCCGCCATTTTATGACGGTAGCGTGCGCAACAAGCCGCCATTTTAGAACGGTCGCGTGGTACACCAGGCGCCATCTTAGAACGGTCGATTGCTCCACTCAGTGTAACCTGATAAGAAACATCATGTCATTGTCACGTTTTTTACCTCTGTAAATGTTACGCGTATAGTTATTAAAGATCAACACATGGTTCAGTGTATATAAATAATCTTTGTGGAATTTACATTAATACAGTTAAAATATTTTAATGACAAGTTTAGTAAAACTCACAGTCACTGATACATTTTTATTAATATGTTAAGCTATATATATGTATATATATATATATATATATATGTAAGTTAACTTCATTTCAGCTGAACACCGTGTTACACTGAACATAACATCAGCTTGTGGACATAAAGACAGTACAGTAATATTATATTCACAAAATAGTAACAATAACATGTTCATTTTGTGAAAAGTTATCCCTCGAAACCTGTCTTGAGATATTTTGTTGTCTGATGAGGATTACTAAAGTGCTTAGGATTGAGCATGTTGTTCTTAATTTTATTATTTTTCCTTTTTTCAATTGTATAAATTGTTTTTTTTAAATATTAAGAGAAAGAGCTCTCCATACCATGTATATATTATTCATTCATTCAAATTTTATTTTGTTAGGTTAACTATCTAGACTTTGTATACACACACATTTATATATTTATATATGTGTTTATCTATGTTTAAAATATAGATGCCTAAACTCAAATCACACCGTCGATCCGAAGCTGCACGCAGTAGAATCCAAGCAGTTGTGGGTGGACGTGTAGGTACAAGAGACGTGTCCTGTGACTTTGTTCCACGTAAGTGTTTATTTTAAATCAATTCTTATAATTTAATTGCTTATTTTCATGTCATATGGAATATTTAGAGTGTTTAGTTTATGTTTGTTTAACTAATTTCTTTCCTTTAATTTTTTATTGTTCTTCAAAAGAGCGTGGTTCCGGTTTTCGCCACAAAGTGAACGAGTGGCCAGTGAGTGAAGTTACGAACAAATTTCACAAGTTGGTCATTCCAGACAAACCCCCTCGTGCAGATGCATATGTAAGTACAATCAGCGACGCTTTCAAATCTAAGATTGAGATATAGTGTGTGTTAATTTTGTTTTGTTTTTTCTGTTACACAGTTTGTTCTTCTCATTGGCGATTCCCATTTGAGATCTTTTGCGGATGGCATTGTTCCGGTTTCAGATAAACATCTCGACTTTGGAATCATGTGTACTCCTGGTGCCAGTGCAGCTCAACTGCGCAGAGAGGTATTACATGCTGTAGTACCTCGGGAGCCTGATGCTGTATGTGTAATGGCACCATCGAACAACCTAACAACCAGCGTTGAGCCAGAAGAGGCAGGCCATGAATTTGAGAAATATCTGATTGCGGTCTGCAGCCAATGGCCTAAGTCTAAGGTGAGCACTGTTTTCAACATAAGTGATTCAAAGGAGTCCAAGAAAGTTTAATCTGGTCCTCTGAACATTAAAAAAAAAGGAAATCTAAGGAAGTGTCTTGGATGAGAGACGAAGCACTTCTATTTTTTTTTTTTTTTTTTTTTGCTTTGTTTTATTTTTTGAATGTACAGAGGACCAGATTGAATTTTTTTGGATTTTTCTACCTGGATTATAGAGCATGCATCATGATATTTACAGGAGATTGTTCAATCTTTTAAATTAGGTTTGGTTAAACACATACACATGTAAAACATTTTGGGTTAAGATCTGTGAGAATCATAATTGACAAACACTAAATATATTTCTAAATTCTTTATTTTCTTCTTAGATATTCTGTACTGGAATGGTGCCCCGCTTAACAGAACCCAGTGACAAGCAAACTCTGTTTCAACACGAGTTTCATCGGAGATCCAGTAAGCTAGGTAGTTATTAAAATGTTTCTCAATAAATTTCTGTTTGGTTAAATGGATGACAAGTCGTTTCATGTTATGTTTTGTCAAGAGAATGTTTGTATGATTTATTATTTTATCATTGTGTTTTTAGGGATTCCTTGTTATTCCATATCTGACAAGTTACCCCTATCCCATCTGGATTTGTGGTGTCGTGATGGCGTAAGTATATCCTCATTTGACATTTTACACTATTACATTTCTATGTAATGCTAATTTTATCTGTCCGATTACTGTTTGTGTACAGATCCACCTTAGCGATGACCACGGGATGCGTATCCTCCGTGACGAAGTGAGGGCTGCTGCTCGGACTATTTTAAACATGAAGCCAGAGATTCTGGTGGAGAGTCAGTCAGCTCCTCCTTCCGAGCAGAGGTTTGTGCCCCGTCGGGTTGTGAAGGGAGCGGAGCGCATTTCACCTCGGCCCTTTCGTACTCGAATATTTGTGAGATCTGACTTAAAGGTATGAGTGTTCTGTATTTGCTTTTATTGAAAGAAACATGTTAGGTTCTGTAACTGTGTTTAATCGTTCAAATTATCTTATATGGGCTTTTATCTTTACAGAGACGCCACACGTGGAAATCGGAGTCATACTCTGATTCGCCCCAGAAAGTGGTGTTTCCGCATCAGGTCCGTGAAGATTTCAGATATTTATGCTCTAATTACGAATGTCTCTGGGCTCTTAATAATTTAAATCTTTGTCTAATAGATGGATGGCACTCCTGTGACGTTGAAAGAGTGTTCCATCCCCCTGAATCCTGTCCATTTCTCACCCGCTATGTTGGTTGCCATGGAAAAAGTCTCTCCATCGGCTTGTCAACATGTTCACACAGGCAACGACGTAATTTGCACTAATCTAACCAGTAATAACATTGTCGCAGTATTTTCTTTTATAACTAACACTAACCTGAAATGTTGTTTCTGGTGTTGCAGACCAAGCTTGTGGAACATCCAAGGAAACCATCTGTCTTAAGATCCAGACGTGTAAGACAGCATGTTTGTAAAAGCATAATCCATTTATCATTCTTAGGAAATATGACTGTATGTTACTTATTTGGTCTTTTCTTTATTTTTTTTAGGTTTCTGACACACCTTGTGCAGTTTCTGGTACTGGTGTGGAATTTGTTGCACCTATGACGACTGTAAGTGTTTTGCATATTAAGGTTAAAACTGTAATAAATATGAAACCTTAAGAAAACACTTGATATTGTATGAGTTCTTTAAAGTGTGTGTAACATTAAGCTAATGAATTTTGTCTATTTCGTTTTGTTTTTTAGGTGGAGGCAACACTGAACCAGGTGTTTGTCTGTGATGTGCCGCGTTCTCCCCCTCCTCGGGACACGTCCGACTGTGCTGGGTTTGAGACCATCCGTCCGTGCAAGGTTTCTTCCAGCCACAGGGTTTGTATAGAAAAAAATAATTTTGCTAGTAAAGTTTGATTCAAAATCTTGTCTGAGTGAATTTAACATTTTTAATCCTGAATATGTTTAAAT